GGATATATATATATTTATGTATATATATATATATATATGCATAGTTGCTCCTTTATGGAAAATACACAACTGCCTAGAACGCACGGAAAATTGTGCTTAAAAGACTGGTATCAGAGACCATTCCGCATCCTTTCTGGTCAACAGTTGGATTGTCCGTGGTGGACATGGCATTATGCGATAACCGTGTTGCACACTAACACGTTATTCTTTTGCAAGAGTCAATAGGGCGGTTTTCAACCCACTGGAAGCGAATCTGGAGGCACTAACACTTAGTTGTCACTATTTTGGCACCTGCATTTACATCATCTACGGACGTCATATGGGTCATAGACAAGCAGGATTATCAGTGAATTTCTTAGTGTACCTTGTTGTATGTGGCGAGTGTTTCGACTTCAAAAGGGGCTGTCCTTTAAAAATCTAACGTAAGTTTGCAGTGGTTAGTTGACCCAAGTAAAATACTGAGCCATTTTTGCACTGATTATCTCCTGATTAAGAAGATTTCCAGTGTTCCGTCGATCGGTAGTAGCTATCAACTCACAGATATTCAGCAGCTAGATAAGCTTGCGTAAGCTAATCACTGTGCACATGGTGCATGTAGGCTAGTGAGTGGTGAATAAAAAAACCAGTATGATTCATACGCACAGTCACACTCTACATGAGTCTGAATCATTCATTGAAATCGGTGGACTTTTTTAACAAGCCGCAACGTTGTTCACAAACGTACTGCCATCTCAACTAGGCGGCTGAGTTTTGTCATGTGTAGGGACTGAATGGTTAACTATGATAAACACAGAAATTCGTTTTCGTTTTTGGAAAGGAAAAGTTTTATCACATTTTATTATTTTGATGCAGGCGGAGTAACACGAAGCTTGGGCACACCTCGGAAAATCTTTGGCAGTTTTGATCAGGGTAATTTCTTCAGCCAGTTGATCTATTTCGGAAGTCGGTGGTAATATAAATCATTATATAACCTGTTATTTCTTTTTTTGGCAATATAAACGATCACTTTTGCTTAAAAAAGGAAACTCTTGCTCGATATGCTTAAAGAAACAGCCCTGTAAGAGTCGAAATAATGAAAGGTGCTATGTTTAGGCCTTTCAGCAAGTAGGTTTTTTCAAAATTGGAGGATGCGTAAGTAGAAGAAGTTACGTATGGGAATTTTTTATTATATATATTTGACCTTTGAAAGTTCTTCAAGAACGTGAGGCCGGACAATGCAGACAACAGCGAAAGTTATATGACAAAATTAGTACGAAGAATAATGCTGACCAATCAAGCAATAAACCTGCGATACATTCGCTACTCATTTATTAGCTACCTTTTTGTCAAACAAGTCATATTATTGTTTACAACGTTATTGTTAAAAAGAACTGCTGGTTGTCAAACTGAAGATTCTAAGCAAGGTATGGCCTATGCACACCCGTATGCGTGCCGGTTCTATAGATCGCGGAGTACGTCTTTTGTCAGGTGTTTATAACAAATTAGTCTCAAGTGAAGTTTACGTAAGTCATTTGCACCTCAAGCCGTTGGCGGATCTTCACATTTTCCCGGATATAAACCGTCGCACAGATGCACTTGCGTTGTAAGCTCACCTATGACTCTAGAAGTTGAAAGAGTCTAAAACAATTCGAACATATGCCAAATTTTCGCTTGTACCTTGCCATTGTAACTGTGAGCAAGCGGCAGTTGCTGAAGATTTTTTCTTCTGAACAACCTCAAGTTGATGGGTAGCTTACATTCCCCATACATATATTGAAACATTGCTCCGGGTTTGCTCCATATTCATTTGTTAAATAACTGTACACGGTTTTGCCCAGACAGTACACTTCTTTTTTACGTGTCCTTTTGCGAAAGAAAATGTTTGATTTGTTTTTATCGCAGGCGTTCTGAAGTTCAAAAATGTGCGTCTGAGCGACGGATATTTCAGCTTGTCCATATTACTTCAACAGTTTAGAAACAGATGATTGCTGCCCACGGATCAGTCAGTATGTTTCTTTTATCCCTTTTTGTCATTTTCTGGCAGGCCCAAAACTATAAACAAAACATTATGCGACTTGATTGACCCAACCGCATTTAAAGTTATCTTTCGGTGTTTTCCTATTACAGAGAAATCTCGGAGTGTGTGCTGAGGGTGGACATTTTAGAATAGTCAAAATATTTAACATAAACCAGTTTCAAACAGAAAGGGTGAAAACAGTAACAAAATAACAGAAATCCTCAAGACTCCATTCACGTAGTTTGTTGCATAAATATAACCTATTACAAACATGCGCGAAAATGTACGTGCCATGGAGACCTTTCTGACAAGTAAACAAAATTCGCGTAGAATCTACGAACAGTTTCCACTCAAAATTTACCAGGTGCATTTAAGCAACACCAAATTTGACCTACTATCCCTTGTGGTAGACTTTAGAGAACTGATGGGAGTGCCTATGTGCTTGTATTTCCACAGCGCATAGGAGACCCTCGTTGAAACTGGAATTCTGTGGGCCCACGGCGTTCCATCTAATCCAGGGACGAGATACTCTAAGTACTTCGATGAAAAGACGGCATGCTAATGACATAGAATCTGGTGAATCTGGGGCTCTATGCAACTGCACTACTCACAGAACCACCTGCAGTGCAATATAAAAGCTTCGACGTCATGGTGGGCCGTTAGTCAACTGCTATTCGTTCAACGAGACAGCAGAAAAACTAACGATTGTTGTATGTACATGTAGCTATCTTAGTAAACGTCAACGATTGCATCAGAGAGCTTCATTTGCCGATTCCATCAAGAATTTCAGGGGAATCTGTCCAGGAGAATCAGAATCATCATTCGCAGTTGTGGACGTTTTTTGAATTACGGTAGTTGCTGTTGCCGTGACGGTCAAGCAGTATCGAAAACCGACAAAAATATCCCCACACTGCAGTGATTTTATCAACCCTACTGAACTCAGCTGAAAAGACCGGCACTGCTAATGTAACATTTCTATTAAATATAAATAAACTAAAAATCTCAGGAAACATGTCTGTATGTTGGTTAAGTTTTGAAGGTTTCGATATTTTATATTATCAAAATCTGTGGCGTACTTTGCACATTTATATTTTTAGGTTATCCCACGTTGGAGTCTAACAAAACTGAACAAATGAAAGCTGCAACAGTTTATATGAAGTGGCCTTATTGAAGGGCATTTTTCCACTCTTATCTCGCTACAGTTGCACTGCGAAACCTTATTTTGTAATACAAACTTGTCCGACAGTGAACGAGATATTTACACGAAACACAGCCAAATTTCAATAAATTAATTTTGACTTTGTGCAAGTGCAAACACAGCCATGTCAGCCAACTTTTGCAACCGTTCTCAGAGCTTAACACGACAAACACTGCTGGCAAGCGTAGTGATCACACTAACGCAATAAGAGCATTTAGTTTCTAGTACCCGGTGTATGTGTGCTCCAGTAGTAAACAGACTGAAGCCAAAACCACTTGTAAATGAATTGGTATGCCTTTTTTATTAAACGTGAATACTTATGTAACTTTTAACCGGTAACACTTATTTTGTAATACAAACTTGTCCGACAGTGAACGAGATAGTTATACGGGTACAGGTATACTAGCGGTGACCCACCTGTCGGCAAGGACGGCTAGGGACTGCGAGAGTTTTTAATTTCATAAAATGTTTCTAGTAGGAGATAGGCGTGTCACCTCATGTCTTTTCGATATACTTCCAGTGAGCTTTTTGTAGGAACGGCTGATCCAATGATTTTTACATTATCTCTATTATTGCCAAGACGAGCAAACTGCGCACAATACGTGTCCAACGGCCTGCAAAAGTCAGCAGTATGTGATATCCTGGCGAGAGTTTCAGAATCAAATCACACCAGTTGAGTGTCAGTGCGGTCTACAGTAAGGCCACCTACAAAAATTCCAAAAACACATAAACACTCAACATATCAACAGAATAATCCATAGAAATTTTTGAACAATCCAGACATTTATCTCAAACTCTCACCTACAAACATGCATTTGCAACAGAATTTCGTGAATACAAGTCGAGTCAATTTATTTTTAAAGACTGCCACATTTATATACTTGAGAGTTCTTAACTATAGTAAAACTGGTCTCCCAAAGGAGGAATAAAATTCTTCATAGGTATGCGAAAGATCTAAGCGACCTAGTGCATACTCTATGATTCGGAGACTGGATAAGTGACACCTATGGTGTATATGAAATATTTCGAGTCCACAATTCACATGTGTTTATCCCTTGGACAGTGATCGTTGGGTAAGTCCTGGCGGTTCTTGCCGGGAACGAACGCCTTTAAGCAAATTGTCTGAGAGATAGCGCGGATGCAATGCTATTGTGTAAGTGAAGACCAACATATCTATTTGAAAACAACTTCGAACTCAACGCTCTACTGAGAGCGTCCAAGATAGAATGAAGAATGTAAGGTATAAGTGAACTAAAATACCGGTAGAATACCGGTACAACGGTGATACTATCGATGGGGAGGCACGCGAGGAGTATGTCTTGTTCGTGGAACTTTGCTTTGCGCCTTTTATAAATGGGAGATCTGTTGCGGAATTTGTGAAGTCGCTTTGTAGCGTTGCTTGGATTTTAAACAACAGTCAATGAATGTCCAGTAAAGTTCAGGAAAACACGTTCCAGGAGATGGATACTCAGTTTTGTAAACAAGATGCATATGAGAGTTTTGCTCTCCTGCCCGATACCCTGTAACAGTTCACTTGGTGT